TATTAAATCTTGAGATCAGCTAGGTACAGTGGCTCATGCCTGTAACCCCAGAACTTTGGGAGGCTGAGGCGGCAGGTGGATCACTTGACCTCACTAGTTCGAGACCAGCTGGGCAATATAGTGAGACTTCCATCTCTACAAAAAATACAAAAATTAGCCAGGCATGGTGGTGTGCACCTGTGGTCCTGGCTACTCTGGAGGCTGAGGTGGGAAGGTAGCTTGAGCACTGGAGGCAGAGGCTGCAGTGAGCTGAGATTGCACCACTGCACTCCAGCCTGGGCGATAGAGCCAGACTTTGTCTAAAAAAAAAAACCAATTCTTAAGATCATCCTGGATTTAGGGTGGGTTCTGAATCCGAAGACTGGGGTCTTTATTAAATAAGGAAGAGAGGACTATGAAACACAGAGACATCCAAGTGAAAATGGAGGCAGAGATCAGAGTAATGCATGATAATGCCAAGAAGGATATCTAAGGTTGTCAGGCAGCCACCAGGAACTAGGAAAAAGGCCCTCGGAGCTTCCAAAAGAAACCAACCCTACTAAGATCTTGATTTCAGCTGTCTAGCCTCTAGAACTGTAAGAAAATCCATTTCTGTTTTAAGTTACCAAGTTTGTGGTAACCCTATGGTAGCAGCCCTAGGAAAACAGCATGAGTGCCAAGAGTTTGAATAAAAAATTCAAATGGAGAAGGAGTGAAAAGAAAATGGTGAGTAAATACAAATCACATATAACAAGCCAATAGAAATATGCAAAGTTACTGCAGTCCTCATTTCTATAATTGTTTGCAAGCTATAATTGATATCTATAGCTTTCTCCCCACCTCTACCCATTCTGTATTTCCTCTGCTCTCAACCAGAAACTCAGCTGGTCAGTATTCTTGGTGGAGTGATCCAAACCTTCATTTCCAAAAGATCTAAGTCCTCAAACACCCTACCTTTTCAGTTGCTGTTGTTTTTCATTTACCTTAACATTGAAGTACTGAGAGGATCCTTAGAAGATCCCCTGGATTCTAGAGCATACTCCTTGCCCCCATTGTCTAGAAACAAACCAACATCCTCTCAGTCATCAGGATCCATCACTCCAGCCAGTGGATTACCTCCTGTTTTTGCCTTTTGCCTCAGTGGTGTAAGGAAATGGACAAGTGGTAATCTCACCGTGTAACATGGCAAAACCATTGTTGCATCTCCTGATGGAAGCACCTCTCCTTGGAGGCTGAGGTCTCTAAACCAGCAGAAGATGGAGTTTCCAAGTAAAGAAGGAAAAATTCTAAGAGTAGAGGGTATTATGCGACGCGCTACTCTCACTGCCATAATTAGATTCAAATGTATCTTGGCTATGGGAAAAACAGCAAAATATAATGCTCTCTGACTCAAAACATATAAGACGGAATTCAATTTTCCAGAGTATTGTCTTCCAGCTGAGATCATAATTGAGTCTTCAGTGAGCCATTTCACCATTCAGTTATGCCAGCTGCTTCCAAGTGATGGTATATGTGGTAACCCTCGTTAATCCTATTGGCATGATCCATTGCTGCACCTCCTTTGCTATGAAATGAGTTCCCTGATCAAATGCAATGTTGAGTAGAATGCACCGATGGTAGATGGGGCATTTTGTGAGTTCACAGATAGTGGTGCTGGCAGAAGCATTATAAGCAGTAAAGACAAATCCATTTCCAAAATAGGTAATTATTCCAATTAAGATGAATCTTTGCTCCATGATGGAACAAGTCCAATGTAATCAACCTGCCACCAGATGGCTGGTTCATTACCCCTGGGAATGGTGCCATTATCAGGTACTCAGTGTTGTTCTCTCCTCTTGAAATATTAACTAGCTGGCAGTAGTGCTGGCAGGGTAAACTTTGGAAAGGGGAATTCCAGGTTGTTGAGCACATGCAATAGTGTCCATCCTTGCCACTATGGCCGCTTTGCTTATAAGACCACTGAGCAAGCACTGGCTTGCTGGCGAAGATGCTGACTGATATCCACGGAGTGTGCCATTTTGTCCAGCTGATTATTAGGGGTCACCTTAGCAATGGATATACTTAATGTAGCCGATACACTTCATAGTTTGTATACATTCAGATAAGTCCTTCCATATATCTCTTTCCCACACTTCCTTGTCGCCTATTTTTCAATCTCATTCTTTCCAAGTCACTAACTATCTATACAAGTCAATAGCAACTGCCCATTCTGGTCATCTCTCTCTCCAAACACACTGAGTAAACAAATGTAGTGTTTGAATGATGCCCACCTGGAGGAGTTTCCTTCCCCACTGCCCTTCTGGCCTCTGAGTAGGGCTAGGATAGCCACCTGTGCTGCAGAAGATGGATTCTAGGGAGGCCTTCCATGCTGCAGGAGCCTGTCAGGGAAACACACTGGCACCAGAAAGTAAACACTTTTCTATTTCAATGCCTCTCTAGCATTCTCTGTGGACAGAACTTACCACTGTGGTAGGTACACACACAATGGTAAGTTCTGCCCACAGAGAATGCTGAGAGAAGTAGTAGAAGACTATTTTAAGGGGTCAGATCCATCTACACAGACAAAGCATGAAAAGTGAATTTGAAAGTGAGAGGTAATAAATCAATGACAGCACAGGTACTGTATAGGTGGGTAGCTTAGTCCAAAAACTACCTCTGTCAATCACCGTGGCTACTGCAGCTCCCATTTGGTGTCTCATTAGACTAGGGATAGGCAGAGAGGAAAAGTAGTTTTCCCAAAATAAAAGCCTATGGCCTTTGGTTAGAGGAATGGGTCTATGGGAAAATGTGATAGACCTATTATTATTATTTTGTATAAATTTAGAAGTACAAGTGCAGTTTTGATGCATGGATATATTGCATAGTGGTTGAAATCTGGGCTTTTAGTGTTAACCATCTCCAGAATAGTATAATAGGTCTGTAATTAATAGTAAATAGCGCTTGCAGCAAAACCAAATCCAATTCCAGAATGAGGAACTATTGTAGGGAAGCAAATTATTGGCTTATCCATGACAAAAGGGAGTCTAAAGTAATTGACATTCCTGCTTCTATGTATTTGGCTGGTCCCCTTGAAGGAGAATACCTCATAAGAATCTTAGAACTGGTCGCCATTACTGCAACGTTGATTTTCAGCAGTGGCAGTAGCCACTGGAATAGAGAGTTTCCCCCTGCCATTTCCTTGGTAAATCATGTGACTTTCCAGCTTAAAACTCCAATTTCCCTACCACTTGGAAGAAAGTCCAAACTCCTGTGGTCTGCAAGGCACTGAGAGTTCAAGACCTTAATTACCCTCCAGTTTCAACGGCTGTCATTCTTCCTTTGCTCTGTTTCCTGATGCGCTGGCCACACTAATACCCCAGCACAGCAAGCACTCAGCATATCTTGTTCCCTATACATCCTTCCCACTCCCCCATTTTAGAAATCGGCTGAAATGTTTCCTCCTAAAAGTCCTCTCCCCACCACCGTACAGACATTACTTTCTAACCCAGCTTCTTGTTCATTTTCTTCATTAAACCCGACCCAACATATAATTATTATCCCTTGAAAAATAAATTAGTACAGAAATGAAAACAAACTCCATCACTCTACAGAGCTTTCAAATGCTGATATGTTTTTGAACACTCTGAGGGGAAAAGCAAAAAAATCAAAAAGCATCCTTGGATATCTCGTAAAAAATAAAAAACCCAAATGGTTGCCTACTGCCAAAACCCCAAGAATTCAGCTCACGTCTTCTCTTTTAAAAAGGCAGTGACATTTTCATTTTTCATCTGATTCCCACCAATCAGAGACCAGGTACCCATGAAACCGGCTCGACGTGGTCTTTTAATAATTAAATCAGGGCTGCCATTGACCTCAACTAGCGCCAGAGGCTTCTGACTGCAGCCGAGCTCTGGAGGAGAGGCTGAAGCCGGCCTGGGAGTGGGAAGCGCGGGGCCAGGGGCCGGGAGCTTCCGCGCGGCGCGGCGCGGCGTGGCGCTCCCAGGGCCGTTAGGCAATTCTCGCTCCCGACGGCAGCGCCTCTCAGGCCATCCCCGCGGGGTCCCGAGAACGCACTCGGGCCCCAGCGCGGCGGTTCACACGGGTGACTGCGCACCCCCAAGGTCCCCCAGGCCCCTGCAGGGCTACCTGGGCGCAGAGCTGCGGAGGGGGCTCTGTCCCCAGACGCGCTCCTACTCCGGGCTGTCTTGAGTCCTCGCCAGCAGCCGCCCTCTCCCGCACCCCATCCTTTCTGCATCTGCCTATCCGTTCCCGAGGGACTGTCCCGACCGCAAACCCACGTCGAGTAAGGAGTCTGGAAGGGACAGGTGACAGAGGTGGCCTACACTCCTGCGTTATCCCCCCGTCCCTCCACACCTTGTGTCTCCATCGCTCCCCCTTCCTTCCCTCCGTCCGTCATCTGTCATCCCCTGTCGCTCTAAGACCAGGATTCCAATTCCCCCTAGTGAGGAATCTCACTAGGGAGACTTATCGCGACATCATAAATTAACGCGTTCCTTTTGACTGAAAAAGCGAAGGACTTTTTTCAGGCAGAAAATACATCTCGTCTGGTCGGTAAGGGCTAGCTTTACCAATTACATAATGGGGGGGGGGTGGAGAGGACCTTTTGTATAAATTTAATGAGCTAACGAGAAAGTTCTAAGGTTTTGACCCCCAAAAAAAGTCCACCTAAATATTCGGCTGTATGCCAGAAATTACTACACGTTTAGATATCAACTAAAAATATACAAGGGATACACGGTGTTTTCAGAACCCTTTCAAGCGGTTCTTAAAAAAGTCTAGCCCGATGCCCACTAGCACCGCCCCCACTCCAGCACTCACCGCCCCCCAACCCACTTCCCCTGCCCCCGCCGCGCCCAGCGGGTGAGCAGGAGGGACCTGACTTGGGGACCAGGAAAGAGGAAGGAAGCTTGGGGGAGGGGAGGTAGGGAAAGTGACGGGAGCAGTGAGAGCCGGAAATGAGTGACTAGCGAGGCACCCAGGAGAGCCTTGTCCGGCGACGCTCTAGCCTCCGCGCGCTGTCTCTATGCTCCTTCGCGTCTGGTCTATTTATTGTCGCGGGGAAGCAGCGGCCGCCTCGCACCCGGAACAACAAAGCCGGGAAGAGGGAGTCCGAGCCTCGGGGGCTCCTAGCAACGGGCCGGGGCGGGAGTTCCATGGAGACTGGGGAGCGCGCCCGTCTCATCCTCATCCTTGTCCTCCAGCTTCTCCTTCGCATCCGACGCAACCGGCAGCAGCGCTGCCGCCGCGTCCTCTGCCGCCGCTCCCTCTTCCCACGGTAACCCCCTAGGCTACCCTGGGCGCGGGGAGCGCAGGAGGCTGAGCGGCCCGAACGTCGGGTCCAGGGCATCTGGGCGCGGGGTGGGCATGTGCGGAGCCCGGGTCAGACTTGGGGTGGGGTGTGCGGGGGCGGGCGACTGGAGGGCAGCCTCTGGGGTGGGGGAAACCGGTCTGGTGGCCGAGGGAGGGCTCAGTTCTGAAGAGGACTGGGCGATATTTGGGGATCTCGTTAGGGATAACGGGTTGGGGGTGGGGCGTCCGTACCTGGAAGCGTTGTCAAGCTTGGTGTAGGATAAGAAAAGGAGGGGTTATTTTTCGTTTAAGCCACCACTAGGAAAGACAGGGAAGAAAGATTCCTCATCTGTCTCTGGAGCCGTTTCCCAGGGGAGGAGGGACCGTGCAAAGATGCTAGGGGTCTGTTGCTTCTCAGAAAACTTACAGCGGCCTCTCTAGTAGCTCCCAAAAAGCGGCTTCATCGGTTTCTGGTTCTGGTAATGCCGGCAGCCCGCTTTATCTTACTATTATTATTTTTGACCAAATTTAGGATTGATAGAGAAGGATCTAGAACTGAAGAAGAGAAAATGAATTGTGGGTAGGGCTAAGCAGGGATGAGAGCCGGAACAAGTGATAAAAATAGCCCATAAAAGCCCTAAAAGTAAATCTAATAGTGTATAAGGACTTTAAAAAAAAAAAATCTCTTCTACTGCCGAGATGTGCATCTGCAGGCTCTGTCAATGTGTTCATTGCAATAAGACTCAAACTGCAGTCAGTCCACATCTGTGAGCTCTCTGACTGCATCTGTCACCTGCAGTTCCAAAGCGACCCTTGCAGTAAGTAGCATGAGCTTCTGTATTTAGGGTTCAGAACAGTGCCTTAAAACTGTGACTCAAGAAAAGGGAGCATACTTGGTAGGGTGTGTGTGTGTGTTTGAGCAATGTGGACTATGGGAAATTTTTTAAAAAGATGCATAAGAAGGTTCAGCCATCCTGGCATAATTTCGTAGTCTCTGAGAAAATGGCAGTTCATTCCAATTGAGAAGTGACTTTTAGCACTATCTGGTTGAAAGAATTATTCAGTTTGGTATGCCCAGTGAAGTACCAGTTTATGCTATCTTGTTAGCCTTACATCACAAACTGCTTAATGGTTTTATGCTTTCCACAATCATTTTAGGTGCGTAATTGAGGTTTTCCTGTAGCACAGTGAAAAGGCCACATACACAAACAAAGTTCTTTACCTAAAGTTGAAGATTAAAGATGAAAATAAAATTGACAAATCATAGGGGCAATTAGGTCAACCACAGCTTCTGTTTGTCCCCCACCCCTTTTGTTAAACCTGACTTCTCTTAAGCAAAAAAAGGTGTCATCCTTTCCCCAGGCTCCTCTTTACATACCCTCTGCCCTCAAAATCAGTATCGGAAACTGTAGTGACCTACTGCTCTGTGCCCTTGATTGGCTGGCTTATTCCTGAATGAGGGCCAGCCAGAATATAGTTTTAGCATCTTAAGCTTTTAATATGGAATTGAGGTCCAGTGTCTGTTAACGGAATTTCATTCATGTGCAAAGAAGTGGACAGAATGGAAAGTGTGAACATTGGGAAACCTAAGTTGCATTTTAAGACTCTAAGAAGAAAAAGACAGTATTAACATCTTTAGATTAATGAATCAAAGACTGTTGCTTAATCTTTGTAGCAGTTCTGTGAAGGATTTGCTGGGATAGCCACAGTTGAGGCTGTGGATGTTGAATCCTGGGATTATCTTTGTGCATATGAAACTTAACGAAGTGTCCCTCAACCTCAGGGCTGCTATCAGACTCACTTGACCTAGACCTTATTTGCTGTTGTCTCTGTCTCTGTCTCTTCATTGTTGGAGTGAGGGTCAAGCCGTAGCTTCCACCTTTGTTAACAATCCAGTGTCTACTTTCCTCTGCCCCAATACTCCCAACTTTGGTGGTGGTTTAATTCCTCTCTTTCTTAATCATGTCCCAATCAAAAATGATTTTTTTTTAATACTGTATCATGTCTGTTTCTTGTGGCATTTTCAACATGTGTCCTTGGCCTGCATATGCGTTTCATTAATGTGATTCTTGTCTGTTGCATTTTCCTTTTGTACCCCTCCTCTTTATTTGGAAAATTGGAGTGGTTATGTTAGATGTTCTTATTCATTCTGAATAATTGCTTGTTGTGAATACAACAGGTTAAGAACCTTGTGCTGAGAATCAAGAGCTTATATTAAAGTGTATTAAAATTTTTGACTTAGCAGAATGAAAGACGTTAGGAGTCCAAATGGTAATGCTGCAATTGTAGACAGTCACTTTTTTTTTGAAGAGTATTGTAGAGCCTGTTGTGTGGTTTTTTTTTTTGGTTTTTTTTTGTTTTTGTTTTTTTGAGACGGGAGTTTCACTCTTGTTATCCAGGCTGGAGTGCAATGGCGCGATCTTGGCTCTCCGCAACCTCCGTCTCTTGGGTTAAAGCAGTTCTCCTGGCTCAGCCTCCCGAGTAGCTGGGACTAGAGGCGTGCGCCACCACGCCCAGCTAATTTTTGTATTTTTAGTAGAGACGGGGTTTCACCATGTTGACCAGGATGGTCTCTGTCTCTTGACCTCGCGATCCACCCGTCTCGGCCTCCCAAAGTGCTGGGATTATAGGCGTGAGCCACCGCGCCCGGCGTGAGCCTGTTGTGTGTTTTAAATTGAACCTCAGATTTTCATGATTCTTATTCTAAAAAAATTATTCTTAAAATCAATTTTGACTGAAATTACATTCTGCCAAATTTGAGGGAACTACTTATAGTGATTTCCCCAAGTTATTCTTAACATAGAAAATTGTCACGTCAACATTTTTGTGGATGAACACTTACAGAATGCAGAATTTGCTATAAAGTAGAACAAATACTTAAGAAACATATAGCTGAATGTTTTTGGAGAAAGTTATTTCTCATGGTCGTGGCACATTATTTAAAAATCGGCAAATATTGTATGATCTAGTTGAGTGAACATCGGGACTGTTTTTAGATGGAGACCAATAATAACCTAGGTATTGATTGCCTTCTGTTTCATCATAGACCATGTGATGAAATTATTGCTATAAAACACAAACGTTTAAGTTGATTTTAGAAGAATTTATAGTAGAATGTTTCCTCACTGTCTCTGAGTCAAAATCTCCGTTTTCGAATGTTAACTGTATTGTGACATTTGAACTAATAAAGATTCCCTGAAACTTATGTCCATTTTGTTGCACCTTCTGTATGCCTGGTGCTGTGTCAGGTGTGTAAAGCTGGATGAAAGGGGTGTTTCCCTTCAGGTGCTTTTTGTGCACTTGTAGATGCAGAGAAATGACATATGCGGGTAACAAAACATGGCAGACACAATTTGAATTTTAAATTCTTTATTACATACTGCCTGGTACCGTCATTATTGGTGAACGGACTTCATCACCTCTACTAAATTAGAAGTTTCTTGAGGATTAGGAGTATGAGTTGCTTTCATATTTGATGTTCCTGCCCTGTGTGTGTATTTTGAAGATTACCTTGTTAATAGAAGATACATGTTTATTTTATTTCACTTCAAGGGCTTAGCTAGTGAATGAAGAGAACCTTTTTGAAATCTAATTCTTGATGCCTAAGATTTCACCTTTGTATTCCGGCTGTGGGCCTGCAAGTTATAAGCAGTGACTCATGAGTAGGGCTTTCTTCTGACCCATTCAAACAATAAGGATAATGATGGACTACCTTCACTTGTGTAGATACGATATTTGCTCTTGTCACATGACTACCACTTTGGGAAATTTCAAAAGGATGAGAAACTATACATATCTGAGGTTTTTCCAGGCTACATAGACAGATTTGATTTTTGTATTATTAGCCAGTCTTTTCTTTAGAAGGCAGATGGAGTTCATGTGTTTGTATAGTTGTGAAAAAGCAGAATTCCAGAAGTATGTCCTTAGTGGAAAGGAATCAGGTCATGTCAGAAGTTCTACTCATCTGTGACTAAAGGGTGATAAAGTTGAGAATTTGGTTTAAAAGGCTGGTTTTGTGGGTGGAAGCATGCTGCTATGGATCCCATTAAATGTTAAAAAAACGTAAGAGGATGATTTCTGGCAGTTCAGATGTGCCTTCATTTGGGAGGCAATAATGAAACTGTTTAAAATTTCACCAAAAAATACAGCACAGAAGTTTGGCTGTTGGTTACTTTCACCATCCATTAATAAAAAATACTGAAAACCAGATGGTATGTTAAGGACAGAGTTTTCTTAGGACATATGTGGATAACTTCAGCATTGAATTGTGCTTAGCCCAAGATAGACAGCTGTCTGTAGACATTGGCCCATGGTATGTTTTTGTTTTTTAACTCACTAGGTGAGGACTTAAGTTTTACTTAAAAGAAGCAAAAAAAAAAAAAAAAAAAAAAAAAAAGTATTTCCATTAATAAAGTGGTTCCAAAAAATCAGGCGTTAACTTTCCCACTCCTGATAAATTACAAGTATTTCCTTTGTGAGACAGAAGAGTTCTGATCAGAATCAGTTACGTTTTCTTGATATTAGGATTGAAACAACACTTAAAAGAGTATGGACTCTGGATACAGGCTCCCTGTGTTCAGCATCATGGCTGTGCTTTTAATTAATGGAATGGCCTTAAGTATTAAGTAGCTTTCTCGCTGCCCTGAGCCCCAGTTTCCTCATCGTACTAGGGGGTTAATGTTACTACTACCTTACAGGGTGGCTGTGAGAATTAAGTATAAAACACTTAGAACTTTATTTAAAAGCTGAGAAAAGTATTAGCAGGTGCTAGTAGCAGTAGCACTGGGTAGTATATTAAAGGTGAACTGTTAGACCCCTTGGATGCTTTGTTTCTTTTGTTGAGAGGCTTTCTAATAGAGCATTGAAATTCTTTCCTTCTTTCTCGTCACTGACTATTGGACTCGTATCTGCTGTTAGCTTTTAGAAGGGGGAAGCACTTTTTTTAAGTTTTGAATTGTCACACAGGCATCTGGTTATCACTGATGGCAGATGGACTAAGTAAAGAGAGACATCTCTGTTTCTTGGAAAAGGAAGGCCAACAAAGCCTGGGCTGGCACCGCGTTGCAGCTATTGAAATGCTGTTTCCCTGTGGACTTGACTTGTTTAGCTGTGTGATACTTCTGAATAAAAGGAGTAGACCCCAATGGTTTCATTTAACAGAATTAAGCTTTCTTTAGAAGGTACTATTTTTTCCTTGTATAATCTTAGTTGATGGTAAACTGGAAACTTGTTAGTATCAGTGTAAAGCCATTTATTGTGAGTTTTGTGTGCCACTATAAATGTTCTAATAGTCGCTTTTTTTGTGATTTTAGAAGTAGCTAAAATTGCTTCACTGTTCCAGTAATTCAAGTGGCTCAAGAATGACTTCGTAGGATTGCAGAATTATTTGTTTATGGTAAGACTAAAAACAAATACTGAAGCGACCTAATCAGGGAAATCATTTGATAATTACAGTTTTGTTTAGGCTGCTGTTGAAATAGCTAACTTTAAAAAGTTAAGTCCAAATGTTTTAGTTTAGTTGTGTGGACATTGGAAACTGCTGACTAAAAATAACTGTTTCTGCCTAAACAAAGTGAATTGCAAACTACTGTTCTTTCCCATTTTGGCTAATCTCCAGGTCTTGGTTTTTAGTTGAAATCCATTTTTATAATATATGTACTATAGAGGTTTATATAAAATATACTATTAAAAGCATATTTTGCTTTAAATATTCAGGGTAAAATGTTATAATTCCTTCTTCCTAGTTGTGCTGGTTTTGTTGATCTGTTTTGGCCGGTTTTTATAAGCTTCCACACACTAAGGAGGTTGGCAAATATGCATGTATGCAGAGGTGTGACTTTTGTTTTCCTGTTTAAGAGAGGAAATGATGACAGTTGCACCAAATACATAGAGATACATATTTCCTTTAGTTTTGCTAGTCTGAGAACTGTGCGGGGAATTTTTTTTTTTTTTTTTTTTTAAAGACAGAGTCTTGCTCTGTGGCCCAGACTGGAGTGCAGTGGTGCCATCTTGCCTCATTGCAACTTTTGCCTCCCAGGTTCAAGTGATTCTTGTGCCTCAGCCAGCCAAGTAGCTGGGATTACAGGCGTGCACCACCACGCTTGGCTAATTTTTATATTTTTAGTAGAGGTGGGTTTCCCTATGTTGACCACAATGGTTTCCAACTCCTGGCCTCAAGTGATCTGCCCATCTCAGCTTCCCAAAGTGCTGGGATTATGGGAATGAGCCATCATGGATGGCCTGTGTTAGGAAATTTTTAGGAAAACAAGTCATCAAAGTATCAGTACTATTGAGCACAATAAAATTGGCCTGTTTTGAAAAAAACATTCTGTCTAACACATTGTTAATGTTTCCCTAGTGTTCTTGTTCTTGTTTGGTTGGTTGGTTTTTGGAGACAGGGTCTTGTTCTGTCGCCCAGGCTGGAGTGCAGTGGCGGGATCTCGGCTCACTGCAGCCTCCATTTTCCAGGTTCAAGCAATTCTCCTGCCTTAGCCTCCTGAGAAACTGGGACTACAGACGCCTGCCGCCACACCTATATTTTTTTTTTTTTTTTTTTTTTTTGTATTTTTAGTAAAGACAAGGTTTTGTCACATTGACCAGGCCGATCTTGAACTTCTGATTTCTTGACTTCTGACCCTCCGCCTCAAGTGCTGAGATTACACACATGAGCCACCACGCCTACCCCCCTAGTGTTGTTTCTACCACACTCTTTTTCAGGGACAGATGTTGCTGTCTTTCAGATATGAACGTAATAAAGTCAATGTGTAACCCAAAAGTGCAAATATGAAGATGGGAATTTGATTTATGACTGTGGTCAACATTTATAGAGTGCATTACTGTTTGAAACTCGGTTAATAAACTTGAAGCTTTTGTGGAACAAGAACCACTCCATCCTTTTTAATTTGTCAGAGACTTTTGGTGAGCCGCAAGCATTTTTTTCTCTTACGTATGTATGGCTGCAGTGTGTTCCTTGGGCATTTCCAGTGACTTGTGTGCATGTACAACCTAGGAAAATTGTAATGAGCATCCCTTAATTGCTTGTGGGTTGACCACATTCCAGGATCTTTGCTGGTTACAGATTAGGGTGGTTGCAGGAATCACAAACAACCACATTGAAGGCACCATGACTAATTCATTAGACCTTCCTCAACAGAAATGAGTGTGCTAATCTTAAAGGCACTCTGTTCTTTATGCTGCTTTTGTAGGGAGATGGGGGCGGGGGGCCTTCAGTAAGGCATGCTGAGTGACTCAACAGATTTAAAAGCTATATTAATAATGGAAATCTCTAGGTCTCAGTATACCAGAGAAAGCCTTTGGCTGACCAGCCATCTCTTCTTTTTTTATTTTTTTTATTTTTTTTTATTTTTAGAAATTTCAACACTACTCCTTGTCTGTGGCCAGTAATCTTGAAACTTCCATTTCAATGCGCAGTACAAAACAACTTGAATATTTAATTTGTCTGTACATTTAGAATGTGTGCCTCTTGATTTACTCTTTCTAAGGTTTTGGTTTTGGCCTGTTTGAATTAGAAGAGTTTCAAATACCTGAAACCCATATTCTGAATTTGTCTTGGTTATATAGTTTTGTTCTCTCTTTTTAAATAAAGGAAAAATGGCTTTATCATCAAACCTTGTTTGGTTGATATCCTGGAAGTAAATAACAGGGTTGCCCTTCTCTGATGACCAGCTATCATGGAATTAGCTGTAGGCTGTAGAACATGGGTGAGGTAGAACCCTTGGGGATGAAGTAAAGGAGAGTAACTTTCAGAGGATGAGGAAAGGTAATATAAATAAGTGCTGAAGGTCAGTAGGTATGTTTTAATTAAAATAACTCCTTTCTTACATCAGAAACTTAGTTTTGCATCTGTAAAAGCTCCTGGAACACAGTTGTCCTTCAGGATTCGGGAGTCTGACCTAAAACCGTTAGTAACTTATTAGGTGTAGGAGCACTAAATAGAACATACCAGAAAGCGAAAAAAGGAAGTAATAGGATACTGTCGGAGAACTTGAGTGGGTTGAGGCTACTCAGTTTCTTATTTCCTTAGTGAAAGATGTCTACTCTTTACACTTACCTGCCCCCAACCCCACAAACCATTTTCTCAGTTGTTCTTAAGATATTCATTTAATTCATCAACTTTTTATTGAGTTTAGGACCAAATGCCAGCAACTGAGAGCCAAGTTCTAAAGACGCACATTTAAATTAAACAGTTATCTTCAAAGGAGCTTGGTGCCTGCAGTTCAGTAGACACAACACAAACAGTACCGTTCATTTGCTGTGCCCTCTGCCAGATTGCTCTTCTCTCTGAATTCCATATGGCTGGCTACTTCTTATCCTTTAAGATCTCATTTTAAGAATTATTTCTTATCCCTTAAGAAAGTTGAAAGGCCTTCCCTGGGTCATTCCTCCTGAAGTTTCTCCTTTGTTATTTATTTCCTTTACAACATAGATCATATTCTCTTGATGATTTCGTCAGCCTATTTGTTGTCTTTTTCTTCCACTGAAATACAACTGCCATGAGGGTTCCTTGCCTGACCATTTTGGTCTGAACTGTATTCCCAGTGTCTACCCGCAGGGCTTGGTTCACATCAGTTGCATACTAAATATGCAATTATGCGTAAAAGTTTCCAAGTTGAATGAGTGGGGAAAGGACAATTTAGGCAGCTATAAAACCAGGAAACAGTCTTTTATTGGAAGAGGAATGGTATAAAACTGAAAATGTTAGGTGTGTTGGGAAGATGGGAGGTGGGGAGTCCACTGCATTCCAAGGCAAGCAGATGAGATTCTGTTTATTCTAAGAGAGCCAAGAGGTGTTTCTTCAGATAGGGATGTAGCACAGTTAGGAAGATAATCCTGGTAGCTGTTTGGTAGCTGGATTAGATCATGGAGACTGCAACCAGAAAGTTTCATTAGAAGTCGGTAGCTATAATGACATGTGAGTGGGCCTAAAATAAAACATGGATGCTTTGGATGCAGAAAAGAAGTTATGAAAAGTTAACTGAACAGAGGAGAAAAATGAGAGATGAAGGATAATTCTGAAATTTCTGGTTCAAGTGAGTGAGTGTTGATTGTGACTCACTCCACAAAATTACAAAGAGATACAGCAAGGTATTTTGAGGGGCCTAAAGAGTTTTGTTTGGATGTGTTGATTTTAACAGATATGCCTAATAGATGATTGGGAATATGGATTCAGATCTCTGATAGATCAGGAGTGATGTAAGAGCCAGACATAAACTCAGATAGCAACTGAGGCCTAGAAAGTGAAGAGGAAAAGGATTTAAGGCAGTGGTTTATAACTTTAGGGATCTTAAACCCATTGATAATACGAAGAAAACAATGGTCTTCTCAAGTACACATACAGATTAGTGTGTATACAATCTCAGGGGGTTCCTAACCTCTGAAACCTATTGTTGAGCTTTTCAGGGCCTGCCATAGATTTCAGTTAAGAACTTCTGATTTAAGAAACAGACAGAGAAGTATTTGAGATGGGAGGGAACTCAAGAAAGGTACCTCAGAAGCCAGGGATAGGGCATGGCAAGGCAGCAATTGGAGAATCAGAGGTGCCCAGTGCTTTATGCTCTAGAGTAGGAGGGAGTTTCAAGTGTGCCATTGGATTCAGCAGTGAGCCATTCATTTGTAACATTTTGTACTGTGTAGAGGCTGAAGGCAGATTGTGCTGGTTTGGAGAATAAAGTGGGAGTTTGGGAAACAAGGCAAGGTAAACAGACAGTAGAGTCTTGATGTTCTCTGATAAACAGTACTGATAAGAGAATAGAGCCCTTTTTAAGGACTTACTGAAAGGGAAATTCCATTATTTTGATTACCTGTGATGATATTTCAACCTAGTGGTTCACAGCTGACTACCCATTAGAAACATCTTGGAAATGTTCTCAAAATTAGGGCCTTACCAAAGCAAACTACATCTGTGTCTTTGGGGTTTGAGCATCTTCACGGTTGTTATCTTGTTTCTGTTGTTTTGTCTTTCTCTTTGTCTTTTTATTTATTTATTTAAGACACAGTCTAACTCTATAACCCAGACTGCAGTGCAGTGGTGTGATCATAACTCACTGCAACCTCAACTTCCTAGGCTCAATCCTCTTGCCTCAGCCTCCTGAGTAGCTGGGCCTATAGGCACACACTCCCACACCTCGCTAATTTTTGTATTTTTTGTAGAGATAGAGTCTCACCATGTTGCCCAGGCTGGTCTCTAACTCCTTGGCTCAAGCAGCCTGCCCACCTTGGCCTCCCAAAGTGCTGGGATTGTAGGCCTGAGTCTACCATGCCTGGCCTTGTCTTTTTCTTAATAGCTAAGAATCAGTGTTACAATCAGAAAACTTCCTTATCATTCTTTTGTGTTCTGTGTAAGAATCCTTTCTTTTACTTGTATATTATCATTAA